GAAGTCGGAGAGACAGCTGCAGCTTTAGTTCGCTTTGTCTTCCCCCATTTTACCCAAGTTCTTTGCACAGCTGACTGGTTCAACTTACGTTCAACTCATTAACGAAAAGTGCCCCTGCTAAGCAGCTTAATTTTATAAGATTTTCAATATATATATAATGTACGTTAAGATCCTAATTATATTTGATTTAGATATACTTAGTGCAGCATTCGAATAAGTTATGATAACTGACGTGAATTAGCTCATTGCTCAATCAACATCACATCTGCTCATAGCGAACGACAAAAGGAATATCCAGACAAAAAAATATAAAACATAGATTGATAGGTAAAGTTACATGTTTTCCAGATAATATTTAAAAAGTGTTGCACAGGAAAACACGAAGATGTATACAAAGATATATACAACTGTATTTACAAAGGTGGCAAGAATAACCAGTCTTATTTCAATTGTTATTCATCAAATCAAACTGGACATGGGTCTTTATTGTGTGAATAAATTGCCTAAGCTCTGCGTTTAGTCCCTCCCATCCAACCAGTTAGAGGCTGCAGCTATTTAAACTGATATGACAAGTTACAAGTTGCTGTTTAGGGAATACAATGGTTCCAGTTGAATAAGTTCTGCTTCAGCGGCGAACAAATACAACTTGATTTATTTCTTAAACTCATTATGACAATATTATTATGATGATTGCTTTTATTACACTCATAGGAAATTCAGTTCTATTTTTGGGCAAACAATTTCTTTTTATTTACATTTGCCTTTGCCTTAGCTCGTATTTTTTGGCCTGTTGTCAATTTACAATCTTCCATAGCTTTCGACCTCAACTTCGACTTCGACTTCGACTTTGACATTGTTTTGCCTTTCAAACGGCAGCACGAGTTCCTTTTGAGTAAATCAAATGATGTCGTAAATGTCGCTTCCAATACCCTTACAAGAGGTCCATCATTAGTTTGCTCACGAAATTCGTAACGTATTCAAGGTGACATTTTCGGGTTAGTAACACAAACCTATTTCGAGGCTCCACTTTGATTTTATCCTAGCCAAATTACTCTACAATCTGATGACCCAAAATTGGGGTTTTGTATGACTATTTTTGTTTGATAATCTTTACAGATAGCAGGCGTGCCTGAAATTATAAAATTATCTGGTTTACATGTAAACTATTTTATAATAGTTGAGATAAGCTCAGACCATTCTGCACTCAAACTGGCAATTTAGAAGCTGCAAGGGTATTAAGTGTTCGGCACTAAATAATCAGCGGTTCTTCCTTGTTTCGCCTTCGGAAATCTTCTGCGTTCAGTTGGTATATGGGCCCCATATAAATCCTATTTGCTTGTCTTAATTTACCTAATGCCAAAATAATCCGACTGTCATTTGGAGCGCACAGCTTTTTATGCTGTGCAAATGTCGCCGCCTGTTAGCCATGCTGGAAAGCATATCTCAAACGCATAGCCAAAGCCAAAGTCAAAGCCGAACCCAACCCCAAAACTCAATCCAAGCAACAATCTGGCTTTGAGTGTTATGCTCGTGTTAAGCCGGTTAGAAAAAACAGTTTTCGTGGCCCTCCACAAGTCATAAAATATCGTCACAGCAAATTTCGCCTTCAATTTCACTCACAATTCACACGGACCAGCTGCTGACTAATCGATAAATTCACCTCCTATTCCATCTTCCTGAAAGGCTTCGACAGAATTTCCGTAATTTGTGTAAAGTTTGGACCTGAAAATGCCTTGGTTTCTCATCAAACTTAGTTGCAAGCTGCCTATAAATTTGTCTTGTCTTCCACCTGTCTACCCATTATGCAAAAAATAAAGGGTTTTGTTGCTCATATCGTAATAAATGCAACAAATACAAAACTGAATCACATTTAAAGATATTCCAGTCAATGACGAACTTCAAATACAATGCATCGATGGCAAAATTTTCAAATACCAAAATGTATATATAAAGTTAGCAAGCATAATTAATTTGCCTGTCTTGAAAACACCAAAATATCTAGAGGGAAACGGAAAACGTAAAAAAAATATTTATATAAATAATATTTTTATTATTATTATTAAAAAGAGTGTAATTGTTGTTATAAAGTCAATTGGCTACTACGACCTTCAGCTACATGATGTTAATAATAATATATTAAGTTTATTTGCTTGTTTGGGCTTAGATCAAACAATATTAAGTTGAGATACAGGATCAGCTATGATAACTATATGCTTGAATTTAAATTGGAAAATAAAAATGTAAACTTTAATTTGTACAAAAACATATATGTAATTTGTTTCTATTTTTATTTTAATAGCTTTAATTTAATATAATTTAATTATTAGTTAATTTTTTTAAAGAACACAATCAATTTATGTATAATATGTATACTTGATATTTTCTGTACATGAAATCAGTGCTTGGGGTAACTCAAAGTCGAGTCGCTATAAGGGCTTATACAAATGTGTATGTAGATACGTACACACTGCTATGTACTTGTGAATGTATGTATGTGTGTATGTATGTATGTATGTAAATATAAATGTAGGCTCCTAAGCCATTTTTGTGGCTGCTCCCTTTATTGATTTTTGGCAAGTTGCCGCCAAAGGCAGCACCAGCAAAAAGAACAGCAGCAACTTTTGTACAACATGCTTGTTGCTGTTGTTGTTGATTTTCCTGCTGCTACTGTTGTTCTTGTTGTTGTTGTTGTTGTCATAATAATCATCGTCACTGGCATCGCCATCGTCGTGTTCGTCAGACTAATCCCAGCCAGAACATGTGCGGCCGTCGCCGTTACTGCGAATGGTGTAGCAATATATTGATATCCTCAAAGTGAATATTAATTTCAATTTGAATCCAGAATTCAATTGGAAATTGCGCTTTACAGTATATTGAAGAAAGCATAGAAGGTATTAAAGTGTCGCAGTCTCTGATACACTGAGCAAATAATGTTTTCATTTTCGATACTTTTGTGTGTTGTTGAAATGCAGATTTTCTTTCTCATAAATAAGCCAGACCAAAACGCAAAATGCTTTTTTTTAATTCGGGAAGCAATCATAATTATTTTTTGGTTGTTTATAAATGTTAAGCTTTATTTTAAATTTTCCATAAAAAAAAACTGAAATGAAAAAATTGAATTATAATTGGAAATTGAAGCTGGGATTTTTCGCTTGCTAGACAGGATTTTTTTTACTTTTTTCGAATTACAGCTTCAACTTCAAATTTGTTATTGACAGATTCAAGTTCAATGCAGATTGAGTTTAATGCAATATCGATTAATGCAAAGTCGAGATTAAGTCGAATATGTTATCATATCATTGCGATGACAGAATATATTAACATATCATTAACATATTCAATTCAATCTAAAATTGTTCCGTTTGCGATTTGAAGTGTGCAACGCGTTAAAAGAGACAAGTGCCCACAAAGTATATATATATATTCTTGATCGATATCGCTAGCAGTGTCGATATAGTTATTTCTCTGTGCTGTAAATGGCGTGGGAAAATGAAGAGTTAAACGCAGTTTCTGATTGTGGATTATATTTATTATGCGCGAGTGCGTCTTTACTTGTTGAAGAATTGAGAGCAACTTTTGAACTGAACTTGGGAAAAATACAAACAGAAAGAAGGAAAGACAATTCATGTGTGACCAGATCTTCGATACTAATCGATATAGCGATACTTAAGTATTAATCGTTGCTGCGATATTCAAACATATTTCAACACTCTGTAACCTACTTTCTCAGTTTAAAAGCTAACTTGAGGAAACATGACTGTTTTATCTTTAATTTATCATGTAATTTTTCGTTATTCTTAGATAGATGTTCTCTCTTTAAATCAAAAAAATGTGTCACTTTGTGTCGCTCTCGTTACTTTGTTCTTTTAGTGTATATGTTCGCAATCCGCATTTCTACCCTCCCACATTATTTTTCATCCCTGCGACTAAGAACTCCTCATCTTACATTCCTTTATTTTTCTCTTCGTTTTTCATTCTTTGTTGTATGTGTGTGTGTGTGTGTGTGTGGGTGGTGTGTGTTCGTAACTGAATCTGAGGTGCGTTCATTTCATTTCCATTTTTGGTGTGCTTAGCACATTTAATTTGTACTGATAGCAGGCCAGCAGGCCAGCAGGCTGGACACAGGGCACCGAGCTGGCCAAGCACCTTTCGAAAACAGGAAATTGCTTAAATTGAATTCAGTGATTTCCGTTGCTGGGTCCCTTGTTCAGGCCACTTCGTTCAGCTGGACAGATGGGGTAAGTCTACTAAACCTGCACATTTGTTGTCCACCTTTTAGTTTGTGCTGCCAGTTGGCAATCGAATTTCGGCTGCTTGTCCTCAAATACAGCTACCCAGCGCCTTCCCATCCAACACTTCCTGTTGATGTGCCACTCGAGGTGCATTTTAATGGATTTTCTGTTGAAGCGCCAAAAATTGTGATGACAAGTGCTGATGCGCCAGTTTTTCCTGCCCTTGACTCTTCGGTCGTCTTCTATCTACTTCCCTCAACTAATCCAATAGCTTTATATTATCATGCAAATTGTGTGCACTTTATGATTTCGATGAATTTGCCAGCAGCGCGGAAATTCTAATTAAATTGCATTTTCATCGCATCCACACAATTGAAAGGGCTCCAAACTATAACAAGAAAAGCAATCAATACCAAATTGGATTCACTTATGCCCCATTTTGAGAGTGATCGACGACAGTAAGAACAAAATTCTTTGAAATTTAGCAACATAAATATAGATATTAATAATTGGAATAAAAGGCGTCATTCCGAAACAGATTTTCAATCGGTAAACATGCGGTTCCGGTTCCGATTCCGGTTTATAATAAATCAAGCAATAATCTACAACAAATGACTAGAAATGCATTTTGCAATTCGCGTTTGTAGCGCGAGAGCTGCTAACTTGTGCAAAATATGTTTCGTCGGCACTTTTATACTTTTTTAAATTTCGGTATTTTCTTGTTTGGCTACTTCGAACACTCTCACAAAAAATTTACCGCGCTGAAAAGCTACAAATATTAACAATAAGCAGCGAAATGGCCAAAAAACTCAAAATTAGCGCAGAAATCCAACCGGAAGATCTGCTTATAAATGACCAGGTGATCATGTCCATGCTCAAGGAGCATAACATTGAGAAGGACGAGCCTCACGTCGTCAACACACTGCTCGAGCTAGCCAAATGTACGTGCAGCAAATGTAAGTACAGCAAATGCCAAAAAAAGCACGTGCTTTTTTTTTAGGTATATAATTTTTGATTTGTTGTCATCACAGGCTATATGACCAATGTGTTGAATGAAGCGAAAACCATCGATGTAGACGATGTTCGCTTGGCCACTAACCTGCCGCCGGACGTGAACCTGGACATGGACATGGACCTGGATAACGAGGCCAGCACTAGGAAGGGTGTAAAGCGTAAACACCAGAAAATGGAGTATTTTTAGTTTACAACGCTTTACGAATACATATCTAAAACATCACAAGTACTGTCAAATTGTGAATAATATATACTAAAATATTGACCGAATTTGAAAACTAGATTATTGGAACACGAAAGATGGTAAGAGGAAAAAATGTGATAGGGCAACCAAAATCGCTAAAGCCTTTATCAACATTACTAGGAATCACCTCCGAAGATTGCTAAGATTGGTAATTTCTTGGCTAAGCCTATATCTCCAGCACTAGAGTCACAAAATTGAGAAGAAATTTAACCAGTAATAATAATAGTTCGTACATAGAAGACAAGCGACACTACTTCAGGCTGGTTCGATTACCTTCATTGTTAAACCAATTACTACAACAGACTTCAATCTGGGTTTTCTTTTTTAATCTTATTAAATTGATGGCATCTGACGCCCAACCGTTTCGAATAATAAAAGGTTTTTTAGTCAAAAGTATTCAGAACTACATATAACTCAATTAAATGAAGTTATTAGATTATGTTTTACTATTGATGGTTAAAACTATCCTTGTCCAAACTAATAAGATTTAGTTTTATTTTTTTTTTACAATAGTTTATGGGGGGAAAAAAGTATGGTAAGCTGTAAACTCAATAACCCTGATACCAAAACCAAAAAAAAAAAGAGGGAAAAAAATGCCGAAGCGGCAATTTGCCAATTTTCATATGCAAATAATGGCGCAAAGGCAGTTGGCAAAGTTTGTCTAAGACAACAGCGGCAAACAATAACAGCCAACAACTGAGACAAGAACAATAACATTAAAATGCAAATCAAAACGACCGTAACGCAGGTGTTCAAAAAAAAAATAAATAAGCAGAAGTGGAAAAGCAATAAAACAAACGGTCAGCGAGTCGACTGACGATGGCATCAAATTCGCCCCAAGGTATGTTAGGAGGAGGAGGAGCTGCCTTTTCTCCCACCATACCTTACTTATTATCAAATAACTTTCTCCTCCACCAACAAAAAAAATAAAAAATAAAGAACACATACAAGTAAGCTTTTGCAAACCAAACAACTTAAAGTTATTCCTATGACAATATACGTATTTATAGCTTAAAAATATGTTTTTGAAGCATTATGCTTTGATTAAATACATACATACATGAAAAACAAAAAACAGTATATCAAATCGAAACAAACTTAGGTTCAGATTCCGACACTGATACGTAAGGTATTAAAACTCCCAAAAAGATTCCACTATTTTGCCAAGGTCTTTTTCGGTGTTCGGGTACATATTGGTAACTTGATATCGGACATCGGACAAATATATCATAAGCTCGGGTGGTTTTTTAAATTGATTTGTCTAAGATTGCCGTTTTTTTATTTTTGGATTTATCTTCCTATTCAAGAATGTGCAAAATACATGATAGGTATGGAATATGGTTCATGGTACGTCTTAGTCGAGTGCTCTTGATGAGAGCATTCTAACTAATTTATATTTGAGAACTGCTTCGATTGACGACTTGTTTCGTAGTTGGAAACATGCCAACATTAAGCCCATTATCAGTTAGTCAATGTAGATTTATTATAAAGTTAAATAGAATTGCAAAATAGAAAGAGAAAATCGCTCTTTTAAGCACATAAAAATAAGCTGAAGACCAGTTCCATCAGCCTGTGCCTAATGTAAAGGTAACGCATTCAGCATTTGTGGCATGCTTATTTGACTGCGAATTGTTTGCACAGGAAAGTTGTAAGTATTTCTATTTACCATTGGCCTTGCTGCCTTCAATCGCTCGCAGGCATAAGGAAAACGAAAAACTTGGCTTATTTGAATTCATTTCGCTGGCATGCTACTTGTCTTTGTTTTCTTTTAAAAAACTGTCACGGGCTTGAAGGGAGTATTCGCAAAACAGCGAAATCTGCCACCGTGGGGCAATAAGTTTATGCTGTTGACAGTTCCATTTTGCGAGCGAAGCGAAGTGAAACTTTCAGCTGAATTGGCCACATTTCCAATCAAAGGCAAAATCTCAAATATTTAAAATCCAACTAAAAACAAGTAAGAATGTTGTACGTGAGTGAGCTCAACTACGATATACCCTGAACCCAGCTGTTAAATATATTCGAATGTTATAATCAAATTTCACTTTAAAGTATTTCTTATGTTCGATATCGTGTAGGAGAAAAATAACCAAGAAGCGGTCAGTGCTATCTGGCAACCGTGCTGCCATTGTCCTGATACTATTGAGAGCAGTGGCAATATCAGATATCAGGTTGCAAAAGAAAGACGCACGAAGCGCAATTCATTATCAATTAAATAAACTATATCTGGTCGCCTCGGCTGTTGATTCAGATCAAGAACATATGTACTTTATATGCCATCATAAGCCATTCAGTTATTTATTATTTTTGAGTATCTCTCGAAGAATTGTTAGACGGAAAAATGATGTGTGATCAAGGGCGGTAATTGACTCGAGCAAGACCGGCTAATACAAGATATTTTAATTCAATAGGAGCAGCTTGCTTATCAAAACTAAAAAAACGAAATGAAAGCCGAACCAAAACAAAAGGGAATCCTGAGCTCAGAGTAGAGCAGACAAGAGCAGAGCAGAAAGCAAGCACTTAGCAGCACTCACGAGCACTCAGGAGCACTCACAAGTACTTACACGCACTTCGCCCATAAAACATAATTGCAAATTAACCTTTTTCTGATTTGCAGCACTGCTCTACACCCACAAAACTGGTCGCAGCCTTAAGCGTTGGGAGCTGCAGAAGCAGAAGCAGAAGTAGGAGCAGCAACAGTAGCAGCTGCAACACACTCACAAATATGTGTAATTTTTTAGAAGCAGGACAAGAAGGACACAGAGAACATGCGCAAACACACACACACACACACACACACACATACACACACACACACACACACAGCGCATGCTGCATACTTTTGGGAAATACCTGTTGATGATGATGCGACCCCACAAAGCATTAAGTAACCAGAATTATTGAGTTGCCGGAATACACAAAGCACTGGGATATGAGACGAGCGAAATAAAAGAAGCCATTAGCTCAGACCACTATGGGGCAAATGCGTACATTTTATGGCATAAATTCATAAGTCAAAACATAAGCGAAATTGAGTTGCGGGCCATTTCCAAAATGCATTCATACTTTTTATTTTCCAAAAACAAATATCTACGAAGAAATAAATATTTATTAATTCTGTTTTTTGTTTGTCCGGAAAGAAGGAAAGTTTCTTTATCTGCTTAAAAATCGTTTCTTGATGCCATTAAAATTGATAATGTTGCCCAAAATACGCACAGAGGTTGCTGCTCAAGGACTGCGTTGACAAGTGTACGAATTTGATTTCAGTCAATGATTTGAGCTAATGATTATTATTCGGCTTTTAATGTTGCAGCACAAACTGTGCTTCTGTTCTTCTTGCCCCTTCTGGCAATCGTTGTTGCTGTGCAAAATGGTAAAGCAATGCGCCTTGAAGCTGTGAAATGTCAGAGAAATATAAACAGGCACACAGATATACAAACGCAAGCCGATTACGAATGCGGCAAGTAGGACCAAATGACAAATTGATGGACTCGACGCTACCCTGTATCTATTTCATGCCATATAATGAAATATCAGTTGAAATGTGGGGCTTTGCATTAATTCACTTTGACGTTATTGTTTTGCACAAAACTCAAATTATTATTTTAATATTCTTTTTTGCAGATTGGCTCCAATCTATGTATATATATTTTATATCTGGTTTTGATATATTGTATATTATATTTGTGATACTACTAGATTTAATAAAGCTAACTTATAAGACCGCATAAGCCTAAGGATTATATAGGAATTCTTTGCATCTTGATAAATAATACTATAACATAAATCTTGAGTTTAATGAGAAAGATTTCTAGTTGCTTATCGGAAGTAACGATTCAAATTGTAAAGTACATTTTTCGTCAGATGTTGATCTGATGAGGTAGTGAGATACCTTTTGTTTTTATATACTGCAGCACATAAAATCATAAGCAGAAGCAGTAAGGGAGTTGGATATAAAGCCGACAAAGAAATAAAGAGACGAAGGCTCACATGTGCGCTGCGGGTAATAAAGTTGATTGCCTTGACAACTGCGTCAACAGGCAGTCATCCGGAGACAGTCAGAGTCATAGGAACAATAAGTGGAGGCAGCACTGGGACTTTGACTGGAATTATGAATAGGAGTGGGTGTGGCTATGGGTATGGTTACGGGTATGGGTATGGGTATGTGTGCGGGTATGTATGAGTGTGTGTGTGTATGTGTGTGTGTTTGGGGGTGTCGGTATGTCAGTGGGGTCCACCTGAGGTGGGCCTGAGATGACAGAGACAGCCGCCGCACAGCAATTACATTGCTGAATTAATGCAAAACATTTTGGAAATTATATTTACGCTACGAAAGCACTCACAGCAAAGACATACACACAACACACACACACACATGTCTTTGATTGCCCACTTGTCTTCGGGCAGGACTAGCTAGACAAATGTATTAATAGTCTTGTTTCACTTTCGATTTCAGTCTGTTATAAAATATTGTACAGTCAAGAGCCTACAATAAAAATACGAATTGCAAATTGGGCAAAAGTTCATCGAGACCCATAAAATAATGCCATATTTTTAATTATTTTGTTCTATCGAGGAGCAAGGTAAATAAAGAGAGCTGGTTGATATTAAACGAAAAATGAATCATTTTGTAAACAAATATTCCAGGCTCGTGTACGTAATAGCCTTAGAGTCGTAGGCCTTTCAGTTTCATTAAAGTAATCGTATATCTGGCATTGAGGAAAAAATCGATCTTAATTCGCTTTGAATTTATAATACATAATATCTGAAATTAAATACAAATGTACTAATTGGGATTCTCTGGGTTTCCCCAATCGTTACAATAAATGTCGGGCCATTTGCATATCCCCTGATTTATTTTATCCTTTATTTTCTTTTTCTTTCGTTAATTTTTAATTATTTCATTAATTATTCCTTTTAATAGAATAATAAATATACAATTTTGGAGCAAGTGACTTATTCTTTTTAAGTCGTTCCCGGAAAATTAGTTAAAGGCTAAGTATTTAAGATCGCTCCACATTCAGAGTTGAGTGCAATTTAATTAGTTAAGTGTAGTTTACTGCTTACGTTTATTAAGATTTCAATACTTAAATTGATTGGCTGGGCTTTTTTTTGGTTTTTTTTTTTTGTGGAGCTTTGGCTGAATTACATACAAGAGAAATCATTTGTCGCAAGTGAAAACTCGAGACAACTTATGACAACAAGTGGAGCTGCCTGGCGCCGGTAATAAGATAAATTTCAGTTGTCGTTACTGTTGTTTTCTTCCACTTTGCAGTAATAAAAGAAAACTTTTGCTGGGCCTTTTG